AGAAAATGCGATCATCGGATGGATCTCGCGTTCGAGCATAGTCTGGTAGCTCTTGCTCTATCGACAAGCATTTGGGTCTTGATGAAGGCAAGATCGTGCTAGATCGCCCGGGGTAGCCGGAACTTTGCAACTGTAGAGATTGGAAAAAAGTTGCGACGATTCTCAATTCAGAATTAGGATTTTTGTTGGGTTAAGTTAGGTTGGGAACATACATGTCTAGTTTCCAAATGATCCCCGAGATGATTGATTAAACTCTTTCATTTTCAGCTTAACGAGGTTTCCTACTCGCTTGACTACTGAGTTTATATGTTCTATACATACACGCACGCTCCGTCCGCATCTAAGCTTAGGCTATTGGATTGGACATTTTCAAATATATGATATCCGAGTATTAAAGTATTTCATATCATCGCTTGGACGTCATTTACACACGAGAATGGCCGCTCGATCGTGTAACTTCCGGTTTCGGCAATAAGTGGCCTCGTTTCAAAACCCAAACTTAGAACCTACAAAGTGAATAATGTATAAACTATGCATTTAGTCAACATAAACGTCCCAAGTGGCAGAGAATTAGGCACAATCCCAAACCCTACGGCAACAATGCACGTGTCGCGTCGTTCATGTGTTAAAAAGGTCAAAAATCAAGCGCCTTCGTTGACCAAGAACCTCGCAGACGGACCCGGGACCTGTGAGGCTATCTTGATTCTTTCTTCTGCTTTCCTGCATTGCTCATGTGTTGACTTTTGAGTCAGATCGATCTCATTCACCCATTATCTAATGCCCCCTCTTTTTTTTTTAATCCTTTTTGGTTAAACGGGCACGACTGTACGTAACCCAACCATGGCTCATCGATATGATCAACGAATGAAGAGAGAATACAGCATGAATGACATCACTTAATTTGTGCATCTAGTTTGCTTATGATGCGGAGCTTGTTGAGTTGCGTTCTTCGAATAGACATCACGAAAGCATAGGATTGCTCTGTTCATACTTGCGTCGCCGAGGACATAATACTTGCAGCATGGCATGTTCACCTTTTTGGTCTAGCAAAATCGATGCTCTAACTAGCTGGAATAATGGACTTCGAATCTTCCATTTGTAGCCTAAGTTGGATGTGTTATGGTGTCCGTAGGTCGAAGAAAAATTGGAGAAGCAGAAGGCGATCGATGATTGGCTACCGATTACTTCTTCAAGAAATGCGAAATGGTGGTACTCGACTTTTCACAATGTCACCGCCATGGTTGGAGCTGGCGTGCTCGGTCTCCCGTACGCCATGGCCGAGCTTGGATGGTGAGTTATTTTTCTCTAAAAGACCTGACCAAATTGCACCCTTGCTTCCTATTTTTACGTCTCTTTATCCGACTGAATCATGTTTTCCTGATCAATTGCGTCTTAATTTTGATTTCAGGGGTCCCGGTGTGGCGGTGATGGTTTTGTCCTGGATCATCACCCTCTACACATTGTGGCAAATGGTCGAGATGCACGAGATGGTTCCCGGAAGGCGGTTTGATAGGTATCACGAGCTGGGCCAATACGCATTCGGCGAAAAACTCGGCCTCTACATTGTGGTTCCTCAGCAGCTCCTCGTCGAAGTCGGAGTGAACATTCTCTACATGGTGACCGGAGGCCAATCCCTGCAAAAGTTCCAGAAGACGGTTTGCCCAAGCTGTACGCCGATCAAGACGACTTACTTCATCATGATATTCGCTTCCGTTCACTTTGTTCTCTCCCACCTCCCCAACTTCAACTCCATCGCCGGCGTCTCCTTGGCTGCTGCCGTCATGTCTTTGAGGTATGTCCCCCCCAATTCTCTTTCAACTTCAACTTCACTATCGATTTATATGGATGAACAATCGGTAACATTGTCTAAATCAAATCGCTTGTCATAGCTAATGACAAACAGAGGACCAAAAGATATCATTTGAATATACATGAAGAAGCGATTGAAATAAACGAAAACGAGTGTTATGCTAATGAATCATACAGAGAGTGACGCAATAATTTTTTTATTCGGGGACTTAAGCATGTGATCTTCTTGTTTCCAAACAGCTACTCCACTATTGCTTGGACAGCTTCACTCCACAAGGGTGTTCAGCCCGATGTACAATACGGGTACGCAGCAAAGTCGACAGCAGGAACGGTATTCAACTTCTTCGCTGCATTGGGTGATGTTGCTTTTGCCTATGCCGGGCACAATGTCGTGTTGGAGATCCAAGCGACGATCCCATCCACGCCAGAGAAGCCATCCAAGGGCCCGATGTGGAGAGGAGTCATCGTCGCGTACATAATTGTGGCTCTCTGCTATTTTCCGGTCGCCTTAATTGGGTACTGGATGTATGGGAACTCGGTTGAGGGCAACATCCTCATCTCGTTGGAAAAACCCGCTTGGCTCATTGCTATGGCCAATATGTTTGTGGTTATCCACGTGATTGGAAGCTATCAGGTAAAGATTGCGTCTTCTCATATTCTTCCCCTTATCCTCCTCGGATTTTGGAGAGGTTGGACCAGTTTTACCAGATCTCATTTACCATTTCTCCTGGCAGATTTATGCAATGCCGGTGTTTGACATGATGGAAACTGCACTGGTGAAGAAATTGCACTTTAAGCCCACTAGAACACTTCGGTTTGTAACGCGCAATATCTATGTTGGTAAGTGGATTCAGACTCCATTCTACGCGATGTCTCATTCTTTCAAATTAGATGGGCTTGTCGCTTTTATTGAGATTTAACTGAACTCTCAAATTGATTAACATTGCAGCGTTCACGATGTTCATTGGCATGACTTTCCCCTTCTTCAGTGGTCTTCTCTCGTTCTTTGGAGGATTCGCTTTTGCTCCTACCACATACTTTGTAAGTGTACCCATATAAGCAAGATATGTATTTTGAATCTCTTCCCAAGTTGCTGATGTGCATAACCACCAGGGAAAAGTATAAAAAAAGTCCTAAACCTTTTGTATTTGTGCCAATTCAGTCCTAAACCTTTTGTCTTTATGCCAATTCAGTCCTTCTGGATAATTTTGGCAGGATTTTGCTGACGTGGACGCTGACCGGCCTACATGGCACTTGAGAAGTTGACGTGAACAATTTTTAATAATATTTTAATATTTTTTCTGATTTTTTTTCTTTTTTTTTTCTTTCTTCCTCCCTTCCCCTTCGCCGGTGACCGGCCACCGGCCAGGCAAAGCCCGGTGAGGCTTGGGCAAGCCTCGGCCAGGCTGGGCGAGGCCGACCCTCGCCGGGGATCGCCCGCCCTCGCCCAGGCGAGGGTTGACCAGCCTCACCTATGGCGGGCGACGGCCGCCTCGTCCGGGCAGCAACCAGCCAAAGGTAGAAGAAGAAGGAAAAGAAAAGAAGGAAAAAAAGAAAAAAAGAAAAAAAAATTAGAAAAAATATTTAAAAATTCAAAAAACTATTAAAAATTGTTCACGTCAATGCCGCCAGTGCCATGTAGGCCAACCGGCATCCACGTCAGCAAAATCCGGCCAAAATTAGCCAAAAGATTAAATTGACACAAAGACAAAAAATTTAGGACTGAATTGGCACCAAAAAAAGGTTTAGGACTGAATTGGTATCAATGCAAAAGGTTTAGGACTTTTCTATCACTTTTCCAACACTTTTCCCTAACCACTGAGTCCTCTGGCTTCTTCTATTTCGTTTTATCCAGCTTCCCTGCATAATGTGGCTTGCGATCTACAAGCCGAGGAGGTACAGCTTGTCTTGGTGGACAAACTGGGTATGCTTTCTTTTATCTGATTTTTGCTCATCGTTCTTCCTTTAAGATTTATAAGTGAGCTGGTCTAACTCGGGTTCGTTTATCATGTCAGTTTTGCATTGTGGTTGGAGTTCTCTTGATGGTCTTAGCGCCCATTGGAGGATTGAGGCTGATCATAATCCAGGCTAAGACCTACTCATTCTACTCTTAGATTCTACACTTACATACCAGCTACGGGGGTCGCTCCAACAATGCAGATTCTTGCAAAGTTATGGATGGAGATAAACACAACGGCCAATTGATGTAAATTGTCATCGCCCAAACACAATCTTTACCTTTGTTTCCACGGGACACCAACAGGATCTTTGTAGTGTAAAACGTGCAGTATTTGTCAGTGAAGAAAATTGGAAGTTAATGGACTTGAAATCAATTTAAAGGGAAGTGTACTTCTCTTAGTTTTCAAGTGTATATGTCAACCTTTTCTTGTCTCAGGCTTGTTTGTTTCAGTGCTAGCATAGAGGGAAAAAGATGTACGTGGCTTGATTCTATTCAATTTTGAAGTGTGTTGTTTACCCAGAAACAAAAGGTTCATTCTTGATTGAAGCAAGGGCCAACTTCAACAGCAGAGACTACCCCAACAAGCTTTCAACATATTCATCACTGCAAAGTGAAGTCACACAACCAAAGATGATTTTGGGACAGTATCGGGCCAATGCAAAGCATCACTTTAACTTATTTTTAAGCCAACCACTCTCTGTACAAAGTAGAGAAACCCGCAAAATGCTGACAAAAACAGAAATCATAAAATATCACCGCCAAGAATTTAAAAACTAAGACTCCCTGAAGGTGATTTGTCTGTAATTTGTTAACTGTCCCATGATATATGATAACACCATCTGCAGCGGCATAGCAAGTCTGCGTAGAGTGTTTTTCTTGGTTAATCAGAATATTAAAAGATAGCAACAGAAACTGCCAAAGTCGGTCGAACTTGGTAGAATCAGAAACCAGCTAGGAGCTGCAACTTGTTCGAGTCCAGTACATTCTTACCCCCTCCGCCATCCTAGAAACCAGCACCTTATACTGGGCCACACATGAATATAAACAGTAGGCCTTATAATCTTTTCATTCTCCCAAGACATCAAAACCACCATCGAAGCAACTAACTGTAGAGGAAGTCTTTCAATAGCACCTGCTGTGACGCAGAGTTTGCACAATGCACTCTTTCTTGAGACACAAACTTCCACAAAACCACCTTTTCCACAGTAACAGTGCAATTGCCAAACACAAATTTTAGCTGGCACAAACAACTCCTGCCTTTTCACTTACCACAAAGCACACATTACAATTAATATACAAGGCATTGGCAAGATTAGTTCGTTGCCATGGCTAGAATCTGACATCAGTTTCATCAGAAACATCTGATCTTTCCAGATTTCCCGAATGTATATCACTACATACGAGACTTTACCAAATAGATATATTTTGCCACCATTTTCATCTTTCTACAGGTACATAAAACCACAGCATTGTTTTTGAGGCTATAAGCTTTAGACCGAGTTCCCTCCAGTCTCCAAGCTTCGGACTCTACATTGTTCCGTGTTCGACTGATCTTTTTCAGCTTCAATCTCTGTCGAACACACACCTCACTTCATTGCAGATCACTGACAAAGTCAGGCACTGCATATGCAGGTATAGATACTAAATGAATAAGCTGAATAAGATAGACCCACATAGAGAGACAGAGTTAATCACAAGGAAAGTGCCTAATTAGACCAACCGATTCAGTACAGAAAATTATCTCACATATGATGGGAGACTATTTGCGTGACCAAGCAGACCGATCGCTATTCGATAAGCACTCGAAGTTAACCAAAAAATATCGATTTTTGTAATCCGATTTGAACATATTCAAGCTCTAATTTTCTAGTTACGTTCAACTATGCACACAAGATGAGATTTTTTCGCACTTTATTGAGGTACAGACAAGTGGCAGATATTAGTGGATCATAGTTCGGTCCACACACTGCACGAAGAACTTTGCAATCTGTTTGTCTGTTGGTTCTGATCTGCACTATGTTCACTGGATAAAAAGCAGTGAAAAGAAAACTCCTCGCCTACTGCCATTCAAAAGGTCTGTCCGATCAAGAATCTAGCTAGTGACTTAGTTTATTAAAAAAATTTAGAATTATTAATTTATAGACACTGTTTATGAGAAATTTGTTTGTCCACAGTAACGACATGAACCAGTTTTCACCAAACTTTGAAATTTAAGCTTATATCTTGCAGCCCCAGGAATTTATTAGGCCACTCTACTCCCGGGAAATACCAACGGTGAGAATTTGATTTAGTTAAGCACGAGGTCTAGATCCAAATAACATGAACATACGAACAAGATTTAGTGAAAAGACGTGGTTCGACGAAAATACATCATAGGCAGAAATTTATGGAACATGAACATATGAACAAGTCAATAGTGAGCTATTCAAACAGAATTCGACCAAAAAAAAACTATTCAAACAGAAGATAAAGTACGATACGAGGAGAGAGTTACAGGAATTTTTCAAAAGAGACCAAAAATCAAAATTCTAAAACCAAATCAACCAAACCTTGACTCACTTCATGTCCCACCTCGTTCTATTGCCTCAATTCTTGAAACAAAAACAATAATAATGAAATCCGTCTTCAGGCAGTTCGATCATTTTTCATAAAGTAAGTTGCTGGTTTTGCATCATATCGTCTTCTCTTATTGTTCGATACGTGCATATTGAATGCCTAATCAACCTGTGTCATTCCAAAATACTGATTACAGTGAGAAAAACCCAGAACTTACAGTTGTTGTTATCTTGAGCCTTTTCTTATCTAGTTAAATAAGGAAGTTCAGATTTGGACTATGGTTTAAGCAGGAACCAAACCAAACAAAGCTGTTCGCCGTTTGGTTCGGTACAACAGCTAACTTCTTCCCCGTGAATGGATTTCTGCCTGAAATTTCTGAACTTTCATACTTTTACTTGGTTTGAACATTGGGTTTGAATAAGTCTCTAAGTCAAAGACAGTTTGTTTAATTGAACAGAAACTGAAGTCATGAAAAACAAGAACCGAACTGATCAATTTGGCATTGGCTTCTTGTTTTGCTCTTTTAGTGTTGAGTGTAGGTATTTGGCTTCAGTGATGGAGCAAGGGAGGACTGAGGAGGGGTTGGAGAGGGGGATTCTTAATGCAACTGGCTATTATTCTGATTATCATTAATCATTTATAATGGTATTAAGTAATACGGAAAAAGTCCAAAAAAAAATCAAAACCATGCCCACTGTGACATTTACCCTAAACTTTTTTTTGTAACATCAAAAATCCTAAACTTGTACCCGCGTGACACATACCCTCCGTCAAGGCTCCGTCATATAATATTTGTCATTTTTATATCACTTAAGTCACGTGGCGCCATGTTAACACCGTTTACCTTATGTCTTCCATGTAGGCAGATTTTTAACGGTACTCATTGACGTAATTTCGACAAAAGATAAATGTGTCATACAAGTACAAATTTGGGAGTTTTGGTGTAAAAAAAAAAAGAGAGTTTAGAGTAAATATATCACGGTGGGCATAGTTTAGAGTTTCTGATAGTCTTTTCCCTAAGTAATATCAAGTCATCAACTTACTAAGTTACTAATAATTCGATTATAAAAAAGAAGAAGAAGATATGTACCACAACGATGTATGCCATTGAAATGTGGTAAAATAAATTAACTAAGACCAACGTGGGAGTAAATAATGAATAAATAATTATCATCACATTGTTTATCACTTTATTTGCATTTTTGAAGAGTTAGAATCAGTTTTAACAATAAAGTAAAACCAAAATAATAAAGAGTATCATTAAAAGTTTAGCTTCAGTTGCCACAAATTTTTCGGATTTATTTTGTGAAGTTCGCGTTTTTAAATATACTTACATTCCAAATACTATTTTGTTATGAGTTAACATACAAATTTCAAATTTATTAGAGAAAGTAATGCTATCATCATACTAAATATGGATAGTATAAACTACTTCTATCTTGTCTAAAAACTATTACAAGAAAATTTTGATTTAAAATATTTCTAATGAAAAACGTAGGAGAATGGCCATGCAAATATTCTACCGTTTTTTCTTGAGGAGCTAGAGTTGGGACAGTGCGAATAATATTCCTTTTTACCGAAAGGGAAGAAGGGTAGAATGGTCAAACTCCCATGAAATCTACTTAAGTTCTACACATGATGAAAAAGACTCTTTAGGCAGTTAATAAGTTAGAGCCACAAAAAAATGGTCACCACTTTGAGTGGTGAGAAAGTGGTGACCACTTATTTAAGGCCCTTAGTCTACATGGAAGAGATCAAAATTGTCAAAAATGGTGTCAAAGCAGGGCTTCCTTCAAGGATGTGTGGCTGTAAGACGGACTAAGTGTACGTTTTGTTTCACGGAAGATTTCATGGTACAAAAAGATATTTTTCATGGAAATCATTTTCAAGAAAAATTGTTAGTTTTCATTTGTTTGGTGGTCTAGGGAAAGTAATTTCCTTCTTACCAGAATGGAAATTTGTTTTCCTCCGATCTAAATTTGTTGTTTTCAATCGAAGGATCACGTTTTTCGTCATCTAAATACCAGAAAGTCAGAAAACAACAGTTTTCTTTGAAACAAACGGACCCTCGGTTCAAGCTAACATGTGACGATCCAACCTATTTTACATGAGTCAAACCCCTAAAATGAGTACTTAAAGTAACCACACAAGCTGGTGACCATTGGAGATGTGTGGTTATTTATAAAACACTGAATGAGGCCTTTCCCAGCTCAGGCACTATGGAGTATTCTCGCCTAACGATACTGTCCCCATTCGACGTGTGCCCTAATCCATGCTTACCCCCTTCGCCATCCTAGAAGCTTGCTAGAATTTGTACCTGATCTGATCCCTCTCAACCAGATGATTACTCACCTCACTCTTCAAATCGGGTATGGGGCTAGTTTGTCCACAAACCACACATTTGCTGGTGGGAATCCTGCTCTTATAACACCCTAACTATACAACCCGTTTCATATGGGCTAAGCTCCTAGAAAGAGTACACGAAGTAACTTTGCAAGCTAGTGACAATTGTTGGGGGTGGATGTATACTACTCAATAGAACCTCTCCCAACCGATGCTGAGTTTAGGATATCACACAATCTAAGGAGAACGAGGAGAGAATGTTGAGGCGAGTGTACTCAGTTTTGGTGCATCTCTTGATAAGCTTCGAGGATGACACAGAGTGCATGAATGAGTAGAATCATGCATTGAATTACAAGAGTATTGCTCAATGATATAGCTCGGCATCAATGAGAAAGTCATTCTTTCTAAGTGGAGAAGTCAACATGTGATACCCCAAGTCCCAGATTGGATTAAAGATTTCCTCTTAGGTGACTCATAAAAAAGACTCAACCACTAATAGTCGCCGTCTTAAATGATCACTACTCCTTTTGAAAGCTTGACCCATATGGAATGAGTCAAGCTATAACTCTAACCCATTCTATAATTTTCCCTTCGATTTAATTATCAAATTCCCAAGATGAATGAAATAAGAAAACCCAAAAGCCAAAATAATCAAGTGCAAATAATATAAAACCCAAGGTGAGGTTGAGGTAGGATTGTTTTTCTATACCATCAACTGCAAATAACCTGGGAAATTGTCCGATCAGTCTTAAACCTATTGTACGGATGCCAATTTAGTTATAAATTTTTCAATTTTGCCAATTTAGTCATAAACCTTTGCGTGAAATTCTAATGTAGTCATTTTGGTCAATTTTCATAATTACTGACATGACGGTGTGCCTCTTAGGACAGTTGGCGATAACTGGACCGACGCCAACGATTTTCTCGCGGAAAATTGACTGCATGGAATTTCGCGCAAAAGTTTAGCACTAAATTTGCAAAAAAAAAATTCAAATTAAATTAACATCCGTACAATAGGTTTATGATTGATTAGACAAATTTTCCCATAAACCTTATTCCGAACTCCTCATGCGATTTTTAACTCATTTTTTACTCAGATCCATAAGGCAGTGAAAAACTTCGATGAACTTGAGGTTATTTAAAGAAGTTGGAGTTTCATCATCATAAAAATACATTGACAAAATAGGGTAGTTGGCTGAGCTTATAGGCCCCAGTTTGTAATAGTGTGCCTAGTGCCTCGTCCCTCATCGAGGGACGAGGCTGGGCACATGAGATTTAGGGTCTTCCACGTGATCATAAGATTAATTAAGAACGGGTTTAAGAAAATGGAAAAGGAAATGAATTATTTACCTGCACATTTTTAATCTACATCATGAAAGCGATGTCCGAGTAATAAGAGTGATACCATATTCACATGCTAAATTAATAATTAGAAGCAAGAGTCTAGCTATCACAGGACATCAACTTATTAAGTTAACGATTTATGTTAGCATTAAATTCTGATATAATTTTCTGACAAAAAACAAGTTTCGATATAATTCAAGTAAATACATGTATGAAACTCCATTTATGAGGAAATGTACTGATTAAGTTTAGCCCAATTGTATGGATTTGGATGTCGATGACAAATATTTAGGTTTTAGCTACAAGTGAATAATGATGGTAAGAAAGAGTAACGGCATTCAAATAAAGCAAAGTTTAGAAAATGCATTGTGAATTAAAAAGGGAAAAAAATAATGAAGCTAAAGAGTACACTTCCCCCAATAAAAACAATAAGTTTAAAATATTATGTGTGTAATGTAGTGGAAAAATCAGAAGAAAAGGAAAACCAATTAATAATTGGATTTATTAATAGACTTAATTAGACACTAGACCGTCAAACGGGTGAGTCAAATCGAAAATGGTTCGACTCAAATTAACTCATTTTCATTCAATACAAATCTAGTGGCTGATACCCGACTCCACCATCAACTCATAATATTGACCTAACTCATATTGCTAAAACACTTCTATATTTAATCAAATCTAGGAAAACTCATGTCTCGACTGAGGTGAGAGCACACAGTGAGCAAGCGCGAGATCGGATGAGGGTGAAAAAGAGTTATGGAGGTGGGTTGGATCTATATAAGTTGTGAACCTATTTAACATACATATTATTTTATGTTTTACCATTTTAAAAACCCATTTATAATATATTTGCTGAATATAACCAAACATATAACAACCCAACCCATCAAATATAGGTGAAGAAATGGGTCGTATATGTTTGGAGAAATGGGTCGCCGACGCATTTTAACAGGTCTATTGGACACGTGGACAAAGCAATAAAATGGCTATATGATTAACTACGAATATAAAAGCTATGGTGAATATCATATGTGTAATACGAGTATATATAGTGTGCATACGAATAGAGAGGGATATTCACAGATAATTTAGATCCTTTCACGATAAGAGTTTTTTTATTGAAGCATTTATATCTTGACTGTTTCTAATTTTACTATATAAGGGATATATGGTATGGCCAAAAAAGGGACATATATGGTATCTTGAGCCATCATGCACCGTACTAAAAATTCAATTTTCTTATTTAATTAAGTGCCCCTAAAAGAATCTTGCCGAGCATTAATCGATCTCGAGACCTTATAAGTTTTCGTTCACGTTTCCGGACCTATTTCCAAAAAGGGTTTAGATGATTTCCAAAAAACGAACTCATATTTTCTTTGCTTTTCTTTCTAAACCCTTTCTTGCAATATGACTCCTTTTGTTAGTTAAGTAATGCAAAAAGTAGTAATTTTAACAATTTTAACAAAAAAAAAACCCATTTTCTCATATATCTTCGTACATTTCTCAATATAAATCTCATTGCAAAAAACTATGGTTTTTGTTTCATGGTCCGACTTATCTCTGCCCGACAAAATTCCTTCACATCCTTTTATTTATTATACTCTCTCCCTCGACAAGAGAATCCTAAAAAGCCGTATCATCAACAGCAACATTCCTAACCTTTCTTTTAGTTATTTCTAATCTTGCTTAATTAATCATTAGCTCTATTATCATTACGGTCGAAATATGCCCTAGTTGGTTCAACCCTAGTCGTACCTGATCATACCGAACCCCTTTGTTCGGTCGGTGCGGCCACCGAAATTGTCGGGTCGTGTCAGCTGAGACCCAAGCTGAGCGCAGCTTTAACGTCCAGCCTCCATGCAAACCCTCCCCCCTCGTCCATCCTCCACACATCGCACGGCACTATCCTCGCCGCCCACTTCTCCTCGCCCCGCTGCCACGAGTGCCGCCTCACCGTCGCCCTGCACGCGAAGGCCGCGCGCGCCTTGGGCAGCTCCGCTTTCGCCACCACCCTCACCGCGATCTCGGTCGGCAGCGGGCCGCTGCCGACGCCGTCGCTCGAGTGCTCTCTCATCACCATCCTCTCGAACGCTCCGTTCACCCACTTCACCCTATTGCTCGGATCCGCCAGGAACCCGGGGCACGCGTCGGTCTCGAGACTCCTCATCCGGTCGGCGTCGGTGAGCCCCGCCAGCTGATGGTCCTGCGCGTCAATGTGCGTGTCGGCGGAGACGGACTCCACGATCACCCAGCACTCCAAGACTCCAGGGTAACGCATCCGATGAGGCGACGCCGAAGGGAGGCTGGTGTTGACGAGATCGATGGGGTCCGACCTCGACCACATGGGTGGGACCCCATTAGGTAGGGCGAGATTCACGGTGCTGAATTCAGGACCAAAGTCAGTACTGCAGCGATTATTGACGCTACAACATCGAGGCTCCTGCTCAGTAGGCTCAGGCTTTTCTTTAAGCGCTTTAGATTCTCCACCACGATCAGCTTTCTCAGGCAACAACTGGAGGGTCACTATTTGCTTCTCCAACCCCGAAGAACCATCAGCAGACCCTCCTTTTCCTTTTGGCCCTTGCACCGCTCTTTTCCTTTTGGTGGTGCCGCTGGAGGTGTTATTATTACTGCTGCTGCAGTTACTATTACCCTTGGCCTTGCGACTCCTAACGTACTTCCTCTTGGTCCTCCCACCCGAAAGCAACCACCTCTTGCCTCCCACGTGCGACCCGCCTCGGCCCGGGTCCTCCGTGGCCGGCATCGGAGCTATGGGCCGGAACCGAAGCATCACCCGATCGATCCCCGCCGCGTCGCCGACCGGCCCTTTGTGTACCCCATCTGCCCCGCCCATCTCACACCCCCCAGCCGCCTCCGCCTCCTCCGCCGCCGCCGCTTCCTCCGCCGCCGCTCAACGCCACCAAAGGCCCTCCCTCCCGACCCCTCTCCCCCTGTCTCCCTCTCTCTCTCTCTCTCTCTCTCTCCGAAGCAATGTGAAGTCTAAGTTAGTAAACATTTTTTTTTTTCCACTCATCCCATCGTGTTTTCCTTTTTTTTTTTTTTGGCGTGAGGGGGGGGTCCCTTTCGGCCTAAGAATACGGAGAGACAGTTGGCAGGAGAGGAAAAGGACCACGTGTCTATGGCATTTTCCCAAACATATGGACGACGCGATTGGTCCAATCACCCGCGGGAGTGGGGGCCCACCGGGCACATCGGGGAGGGTGATGAGAATCGAGCCTCCCGATTGGCCCCCGCGGGAGCAGCCAATGGGAGGCGAGATCGTGTCCAGCACTGCCGATAAAGCGACCGGGACACGTGGTGCCCTCGCGGACTTAGCGTCCGGTTGTGTCGCTCAGCTTTTTCCTCGTTCCCCCTCATATATATATTCAATCACACACACAAAAAATAAATAAAATAAAATAAAATAACATAATAAAAGAGGTCGCATCGTTTCGAGAGAATGCGCGCGTGGGGAGCACTCGCTGGCCCCCAAGGTGCATAATATTTTTGAATAAGCGGTTGAGATGTCCCACGCGCCTTGCCGCGAGTGGGGATCACTCGAGGGGAGATTGTCTGGTGGAGGCGGGGAGCGTGGCGCGGCACGCGCGGGAGGGGAGGGACAGTGTGGGTTGGGGGTGTAGGGTTGGGAGTACGGCGAGGACGCGTGGATGGTCCGATGGCGGTTGCGGATCGGCGACGAGATCCGCACACGTCATCCGAGAACTATGATCGGTCTCGTTCTCTCGCTTTGGGGGGTTGGGTGGGTGGGGGTTGGATCAGGATCGGATTTGGATTTGGATTGGCTCCGGGACTCCAGCGCCAGGGTGGTCCTCCTCCTCGCGATAGCGAAGTCTCGCTGCTTGCTGGTCCACGTCTTTAGGACACGCTTGTTCTCCCGACATCCAATGAAATTTTACCCTTCCATTCAACACTTTCTCGACAAAAATTTAAAATATTATCTATATTTCGAAAAAAAAAAAATTTCACGAGAATAATATACGCCGAGCTCGCAGGTCAACGACCGACCGTATGTCGTCAAAGTTTCGGGAGTTCTTTCTGATAAAAAGCATTAAGATATGTCCGATCATGAATTTCAGTACGAACAGAAGATGAAAAGTCATTTCAGACACATCGTTAACTCTCACGGCCAATAACTGAAGAGTATAGCGTTGAGTTTTGAGTTTGAGTTTTTGTTCTAATATTTATTTAAGTTTAATCTAATCAATTTTGTGAAATTGAAAGTCGTGAATTGGTACAGATTTTTGACTATTCTTTTCTTAACATAACTCTCAGACAGCTAGACGTCACAGCAAACTCAATATGTTTTGTTGAAGCACGTAGCTAGACAATGACTTCTCTCAATCACGAATCAAAATATGGCTAGACTCAACTCGAGTCTATCACATCAATAGTAAAATTGAAAACGAGTTATTTCCCTGTTTAATAACACAAGATGACTAGATTCCCAAACTTAGACAGCCCACATGTATGTTCCAACATGCATCATCATACTATTGTCACTCTACAGGAGACTTTTTGTGCAAATCTAATGTGGACCAATGGTGAAAAAACTAACATTTACCAGAGCAGTGATCTCCTTGACCTCACTCCAAATAATCATACTCTCAAATCCAAAACGAAACCGTATCGAGATTGCACATGAATCTCTTTCACCGACGAGAGCCAAGATCAATGAGAAGGATAACATATGTTTCACGGATTTACAAAAGCCAGCGATGAACATGATTGACCATTATCCATCATCATTGCTAAGCTCTGGACTGAGCCAACAGGACGATGCCAACACATCTCCCCTACAGGAGACGTCCAATCATGCGTTCACTTGACTTGAACCCCAACTACGTGTCAGCAAGAAGGAAAAAATTCAGCCCGAGAGCTTGTATTTCACCACACCAGAATGTGATGTTCTACCAACTTTGTGACAGCACCAAAGGTCACGTGCATTCTAGTCGTGGACCGACACATCTTTTCGACATCGTAACATACATACGATGACGGTGCTCATCCAGCAATGGACAGGGAGTGCCATTGAACTAGCTAGTCTCGAATATAATGTGAGGATTAGGGTCTCAATCTCTTGAACATATCGGGGTACAAGTCCCGAAGAGGGTCCAAAACCAAAACCTCCTTCGACCGCCGGACAGCATGCTGTCTAGATCACACTCCCGAGGTCTTTCACCAGAGAGTGAACTCGAAGATTTGTTTAAGCTTAGTCTAAGGCAGTCGGTGGCTATTGAACTATAAGGTTTTCATAGCTCTCTTCCCCAGCTAAAGTTCCCCTCTGATAATGCGAGCTAACCTACCCTTTATAAGGCCCTCTATGTTGACCAATGGCATATATTGATGATGATGGCTATCTTCATTGTCCCCTCCCTGTTCCCTTCGTGTGGGGTATACAGTTAAGAAAGAGGGTCGATCCCTTTGCAAATTGTGCAATTTTTATAGTTTTTGTGATACTTATCAAGACACACACACACCTACCAAGAAAATTGGAGACGTGTCCCTTTGGGACTTTGAGAAGCTTCCTCCCCAAGGTCCTTACGTGTCCACAAGAGAGAGTTACAACACATTCAATCAATGCGAAACAATCCGATTCTTTTTCGAAGCATTTCGAAGCCTAGCTATCAGATCTTCTTTATTTTTTTTCCACACGTTTCATCGCTCCTTCTCTTCGATCTCCTTGCTCCTTTTTTTTGCTAAAGCCGATCTCCTTGCTCCTTAGTGCATATATATGTAGCCCCTTCCGTTCGTCTATATTAACCACACTATTATTTTAAAAGGTCACCTGACACATTGCTTTCTCTATCTTGCTTAGCATACACAGACATTCCTGAATTAGGCAAAGGCTTTTTCAGGGTCATTCGAATATGTACACAAGAGATATATATGTGGTTAATTATACCTGAGCTTGAAGTGACCCCCTTTACGGAGGGTTTTGTTCTCTGCGATATTCATTTCAAAACGCTAAGCCGAGAGCGGCCTTCACGTCGAGTCTCCATGCAAACCCTCCAAACCCGTCCAGCCTCCACACGTCGCAGGGCACGGTCCTCGCCCTCGTCCACCGCTCGTCCCGCCATGTCACCTGGCACGTGAAGGCCCGCTGCCAAGTCGGCAGCCTTTCCTTCGCCACCAGCCTCACCTCGATCTCCGGTGGCGGCCGATGGGGATCGTGCTCGACTTCTCCTCTATTCTGGCCACTCGCGAACCAGACGTACGCGTCGTTCACCCAATGAACCCGGTTCTGGAAGTCCGACACCAGAACGGGACACGTGTCGGACCGGAGATTCTTTATCTTCTCGTCGTCCGTGCTCCCTGGAAAGAATTCTCCGACCGCTCCCATGCACGGATCGACGCCGACCCTCTCCACCGTCAGCCATGACACGGCGACGGCTCGCGTGAGCGGGTTCACCACCGTCGGATCCCACGAGTTCTCGCCGTCCACGTTGAACTTCAAGGGCCTTTCGCGATCTGGCTGGGAAAATTCCCTCGGGGTTATTATCATCGGAACGAGATCCAGGGGAACGCCGGAGGCCATCGACTCCCGCGGCTCGGCTTTCTCCGGCAGGAGCTGGAGGGTCAATACGGGCTTCCCGCGACGGCGACCTCCGCCCTGCGACCTGCTCCTCCTCTTGCACTGGCTATTATTCTTCCGAACCCTAACGTACCTCCTCTTCACCCTCCTCTTCACGGCGAGCCAGCTCCTGCTCTCCGGGAGGTCACCGGCGCCGGATACCGGTCCGCCCGCGGCCGGTTTCGGCGCTATCGGCCGGAATCTGAGCATTACCGGGTCGATTATCGGGACGAGCTTGTCGGCACCGACGCCAGATCTACCGAACCAGAACGCGCCTCCCCTGTCCATGGAGGAGCTCCGGCAGCGCCACCACCAGCTCAGCTTTCCTCGGAGCCTCCAACCGGAGAAGCAAGGAATCTCGGGGGTCGCTGCTCAGGCTCTGAGCCTCGAGAGAACAGCAGCAGCTCTCCTCTCCAGCCGATAATGAATGGGATCGGCGAACACACGGTGGTCTGGTATACAAGCACCACGTGTCCGAGCAAAGCTCGAGCCGACAGTATCTTATGCGAGAATCGCAGAGATTTATTGGACGGACAATTATGCTACAGTATAACACGAGAATTTATTTTTTTTTTTAGCTATATTGAATTTAAAATCCGAAATCTCGATATTTTATAAATTAACATAGATGAGGGGGGGGGGGGGGGGATGATGAGAGATACAGGAGGGGCTTGTACAAAGTTAGATAATGTCCAACTCGGGAGGGCGTCAGGGGACGTGATTGGACGGGAGTTCTGGTTGAGGGGGCCCCACGGAAAAGTGCCATACTTGGAGTGATTGCTTTGGTCTGTGGGCGGGGCCCACGATGTGGGGAGGGGGGGGGGGGCACGGGCCAATGGGAGGCGGCGTTGTGGCATGCACTCCCCACCGAGGAATTGGACACGTGGACTGTAGCTGAAAGTGGCTTTTTCCCCTTTCTCTCTCGTTTTTTTGGCCTTTTGCTTCGCCGGGGGTAAAAAGCAAAGCGAAAAATGCCGCTTACTTCATTGGAGGAGCAGCGGGCTTCTCGCGCCCGGACACGTGGCGGGATCCCACCGGCGGGATCGGCCCAACATCCCCCGTGGCCGCCTCGTTCGGTGCGGGAATAATTAAATGGGGGGGGCCTCGTCATGGCGATTTGATTCAGCCGGGTAGTGTTCCGTTGAAATTTCTATCCGACTGACCCTGTACCTTTCGCCCCCCAACGTCGTTTTCCATTTAGGGGGGTGGTCGGGTTCCCGTGGCGATCCCGGACAAGAGTCTTAATGAACGCAGGAACGGACATGCTTTGTCCGGAGTTAATCGGCGGCGGAGCACAGAAACACTTTGCAGGGATTTAATCGACGTCAAAGTGAGATAATAGAGAAATTCAATGCCGGAATTTAATCGATGATGTAGATTCGAAAACTAAAATCGGGATACATGATAGAATTTAATCGACGACGAGGTATAGGGAGCAAGATTGAATTACTGGAATTGAAAGATAACATTACTAAAAGAACAACGACTTCTTTTTGTTGATTGATCAAGGCTTGAAAATAGTATGATGTGCCATTTATAACTCACGATATAACTCTCTAGTGGCAGTCACAATGATTTTGCCAATCAACTTCTCAAGTCTTGAAATCTGATGTTCGATTGTTCTGCTCACTCACTGTTCGCCTAACTCTAATCTCATTGGCTAAGCCTGATACTTGTCAAAAATAACCAAAAAAGTTAGTCATTTTTTTATTGTTAAGAATTTGACGGCGTAGCGAGGAGATGCAAAAACATCCTTTTAAATTAACTTTTTCGCACGAGGTCCAAATCTCACACAATAAAAAAAATAATATGACCTATTATTTCTGATTGGATGGTATACACGAAAAGAGTGAAGAGCGCCCAAAACATTCCATGAGTATGGAAGAAAGTTATGTTTCATATATAAATAGATCACAATAAAAAATAAATCGATATTTTTTTAATCAACTATTTTCCGTGAAAGAAATGGAGCTTGTATCGATATTAAATTATCAATTTATTCCTATTACATGGAATTCACTAACCGTATACTCAAGATACACGAGCACTACCTAGAAGTATCGAAATAATCCCTTTCATTGTATACGCAAAGTATGACGACCTGTTACCTATGAAGCTGCACGATCTTTCATTTGTCGTCGATAGAGAATGAATGAACCATGAAAAAGGAAGTGATTCGGCATAATCTCGTGGCCGATACATAACTAAGCCGAATGGACATGTCTTGAAGTCGCCAGAAGGCATCTCGCTTCCCTTTCGCGATTCGACGGAGCCACGAAACACCGATGCAAATTTGATTCGGATCGGATCATCATATCGGTCGGCACAATAAGCCAATCTTCGTTCGACAGAGTACCCTTACATATGTAAGGTTAGTACGAGAATTTAATTTTTTCGATTTTAATCATCCGACACTAATTCACAACATATATATATATATATTAAACACCATGATTAAGAATAATTTAGGTGATGAATGACATGAGTTGTGAGTGCGTGAAGAATTTCAACTGCTAAGACATCACACCTAAGCTTTGAATATCATTGTCGATTGGGGGAGGGGGGGAGTGGTCAGCATCCTAGAGGACGTGGGAAAAAGTTGACGGAACATACAAGACGACGCGTGTCTCGAGCTGTCCAGCTGAGAGAGGCAGAAGAAGAAAGAAATAATCTTAAGGAAAAGGGGAGAAGAAATTTGATGCCCTCCCTCCTCCTAATCCTCCGAAACGCAATGAGTGCAGGGGAGGCAGGGCCAATGGGATTCGTCGTTTTGGCAACATCAACATCATGTCCGACGTACGATGAAAAAGATAAGAAAGGAAGAGCCGTGCGCCTGCGAATCATCTCGCTCCAGATGCGGATGCGACAGCCCAGGACAGAACCCGAAAGGCCAAAAAAAGAAGAAGAAAAAAGGGTGTCCCGCAAAGAATATTTGGACGTGTGGTGTCAGGCTAGTAGGCTTGTGATTTGGTTATTTAAATGTCCAGCAACCCCCGGCTCTTCTTCACCTGGACTGGAGGGAGCGAGTTTTAGCATGTCCAAATCAGATGACCATGATGATTTTTCCCAGAGATATAGTTCTTGGTTTTGCTTTATGGTTACATCATCCCGTCGATGAAAACCGATCGATCTCGCGAGTTCTGATTAGTCTTGTTGCGTCTATTTGAGCACGGGGTTTACCTACCTAGACGGGTTACGTTTGTGATGGTGTCCCCCCCCGGTTCTTGCACGGACTCGGGAGAGGGCGATCATGCCGTTGTGAATATATCGGCGACCCGATATTCGGAGTTGGTGGAGGAGAGGGCTTTTTAGTACGCTTGTTGTGTCGGCGACAGATGATGATACGTTCGGGTTGTGCAATGGGACGTGAGGAAAGTCCATCAAGATTCTCCATTATCTTTCGATTTCATGTACGTGACTCGTGTTGATGTCGATACAGATTGCTCGATGCGAAAGGTCAAGGATAAGCTGAAACGAGCATGGCCACATCTGGTGCTGTCCTATCCGGGTCATGGATTCGGGACCGAGAGAGACGAAACTCTTTAAGATGCTAATCAGGTGCATCTGCAGTTGTGGGGACATGAGAGTTCTGCGGATATTACAGTCTCAATTTAGATCTCTCGTGTCCTGTGATGCGAAATCTTTGTAATCTCCATTAGTAACAAGGTAGGTCAATGTCGTAACTATAGAGTGAAGGAACAAACGACATGCATCATGTTACAGAAACCTGCTGTCCAGTATTTTACTTCATCCAGAAAGGAAAAGGATTCTTCAGGTGATATTTCCAACTGAAGAAACATAGCATTAGAAACATTTAACATCCAAAACACAAATCTGCCAAAAAAAAAAATATAGCATCTTGCATCATGTATATCGAAGGCCTTATTTCCATCTCAAATAGGGAAGAGAGAGATTCCTTAAAGTAACTACACCGCCAAGTAGTCGATCGAATCAAATTTCGGGGGCAGATAACAAAAAAATCATCTGACAAGAGATTATTTCCAGTACTCCAACGGAAGCTAGTTGACAACGTCGAGAACCAATTTCCGCGACTTTAGCACCGACCATCTCAACCGCCTGTAATAAGCAGCTTGCAGCAAAGCCAGCGAAAGTACGAAGATCCACTTAAATCCCATCTGTATTCAAGGAAGCAAAAAATTATCAGCGATGCAATTATTTCCATTTTGTTCCTTCTAACAGATATAAACCAAGTAAAAAGGTACCAGCTTCCTTTCTTCCATTTCTGGTTCAGCAGCCCAAGATAAAAATGTGACGACATCTTTGCCCATCTAACACCATGACATGGAGACAATTAGCAGCAGAAGATAACGAATTAGAATAAACCAGGACGAGCTTGTTCAGAAACTTTGAGGCATTTAATTCTAATAGATGTGAACCTGTGCTTCAGTTGCAGGTGTTCCATCTTCATACTCAACAGCTCCATCGATGAGCATTTTAGGCATAGCAATTGCTCCACCAGGGAAATAGGGATTGTAGTGTAACCCGTCTCTTATCTTCAGTCATTAAAAAAAATGCGTCAGGTTAAACGCTATCAACCAATGTCAATAACACGTGACCTCCATAAGGAAATAGTACAACAAGAAACTTCCAAAAGGGATAATCTCTGCACTAAATTACCCATCGCAAAGAAGGAACTCTGAGTTGATTTAAGGCAGCAAAATAAGGAAATTGAAGTGGAGAGGTGATTTAGTAATTCTCTACCAACACAGAGCAAAACATTAGCAAAACATCCAGTGCATTGGCACCTTTTTGCCAAAAAAAGAAAGACCTAGCAACTTAAAATGTGATAATGCAGGATATGATCATGAGAAATCCACATAAAATGTTATAAAGCCATTCCACTCAGTATTCACCTCCATTAAACTTGAATGAACTATTCTGTGAAAACTAGTATTAATCAAAAGAGGTGTACACTCTAATTCGGTTTTAGCTATTGCTTTTCAAAGGAATGATGAAAATAGGAAAAGCTCGGCAAGTCTTACCATGACTTCACAACAAAACAAAAGAATGACTGTTTGAGTGTATGTTAATGCTTCGGCAACCACAAATGCTACGGCTTTACCCACCAAACAAAGATTCATTCACATAATTCATGAAAAAAATGGGTCATCGTGACAAATAATCACAGAAATACGTACCGCAACACCAGCTGGAGGATCACGGTAACCAGTTAGGAGAGCAAACACATAGTTCTGACCGTTGTGCCGAGCCTGAAACAGAATAATATTGACAATATTAGTGAAACTATCATCATCATGTGACTCCTGTAGAGTTAGCAATAGAAAGCAAACTTACTTTAGTTATTAGACTTAAGTCAGGAGGATAAGCCCCCCCATTGGCAAATCTAGCTGCAGATTCATTCGCATATGGTTGAGGGAAACGGTCACTTAGTTTACCAGGACGAGTGAACATCTCGCCCTCATCATTAGGTCCATCTTCCACCTCAATTTCAGCAGCCATGGCCTTTACCTCCTCTTCTGTGTAAGCGACCCCTACCAGATCACGGTATGATATTAGAGACATAGAGTGGCAGGATGCACACACTTGCTGGTACACCTGGTGACCACGACGAATCCTGCCCATGCGCAGCATTTAAGATGAGTAATTTCTATTCAAATCAGACAGCAAATTACTTTAAATTAAAAAGATAGGGGACTGAATTTGATAAGGACCCAAGTTCCCTGACATCAGCACCCAACCCCCTCCCCAAAAAATAAAAAGAATCAGGAAGGTAGAAGAAAAGTTCGTGCTCAGGATTTACATGTAGGTGTAGATAAGATTGAAAAAAATTCGTGACTTGCCCAAAATTACAAAAGCACACTTCGTGAGCCAAGCGACAAGATTAATGATGATAAAGAAGTTAAAAGGAGATCATGAAAAACTCACGAAGCATGGTCATATGAACTAAGAATGCCCTTGTGAGGCCAAGGATAATTAGGGCACTCTAATCCATGTTCAGCCTCATCAGCAGATGCAACTGTTCCAAAGCTCAGGAATCCGGAAACTCCAGCTCCAACGAGTGCGAAACTCCTGAAATAGTTTGTATATGCGGAGCTAGAACCATCATGACCTCTCTTTGAGAAGACAGACGACAACAAGGCAGAGGCCTGCTAACGGACAAACAATTTTCGTAAGCTAACCACAGGAAAAACAAGGAAAAAGGTGAAGAGCTATTTGCAACTTCAGATTAACATTGTCCACGATCTGGTAAAGTGAAACAAAGAATTACATTACATCAAATATATTACAAACAGGAGATTATACAACATAAGAAAGAGAACAAAAGGATTATCTGCCAAGGAATCAAAGATTCACGATGGAGAAAGGCAGGTGTAACATGAGACGCGATGCCACTTTGCTCATGCAGAATGGAGATACTTCATACTATCAAAATCCAGCGAACTAGATGACTGATTCGGACTGTCTCTTTGACAGGCTTATTGTTCTTTTCAACTTAAAAGTCATTAGTAGCACAATAGATAAAATTCACTGGTATGAGCACACCAAAATCTCATGTGGGTGCATAAAAGATTGATACGAATGCATCTCTGGAGATCCAAAGTAAAAATGCCATAAATAGATGTCTGTGAAGCGGTTCCAAAACTATATACATCATCCCCCCACCTGAGGCTGAGGTTGAAGTTTCCTCCGTAGAAGCTGGTGGATTGCCCCTCCTCCAGCCATTTCACGTAAGAAAACCTTTCTGTTAGTGACCTAAAATCAAATAGGAGAAAGCAAAAGGCCACCATAAGATAAAAGAATGCAATTGGGGAAAAGGGGAAAATTTATGAACTCCATTGCTCAGCAATAGAGCCATTTCCATAATTCCAAACAAATTAAAATTGCATGTGTCGGATTAAGATAGCCATACTGATTGATTCAGTATCTACAGAAAAAGATTAAACATCGACATCCTCATAACCTTGCATCAAATGCTAGTAGAAAGAGATAGAACTTATCAACATTCTACAAGCAATGTCCTAGGTCCATTAGGTTGGATAAGTCTTTAAAAAAGCAAAAAAGTGGCTCATTCTTGAAAAACAGTGAGACCAAGTCATCTATTGAATTTCAGGGACAGTATCCGGCTCATTCTTAAATCTCTATAGGCAATAACAGGTTCGCATCATTGCATCAGCTTTGCAAGCAGCATTTTCTGTCTCGATTGCCTCGGGTTAGCAACACCCTTTGAACGGCATAGACAGAGTTAATGTGACAACTGCATAATCCCCAGGGACACTATTATCAAGAACGGGACTGGGAGAACATGCGCTAATCCGAGAGCAGACAACACTCTTACTCAGTCTCTTTCAATTATTAGCTAAACGATAACGCATCGAGCTACGAAAACTAACTTTCTTCCTTGCTGCGGAAAACCTACAAACACAAAGTGAGAAATTTATAAAACCGCTCCCCAATCGCATAGAGGAACATTCCTCGGGAAGGTTGAACAAACCATTCACTCGATAGAAGATACTACATAGTTAGTTGTAGGAATCTGCTTCTCAAAAGACCGTCGAGCTTTCCAGAGACACATAGCATTTATCTTTGCGACCAATGCGACAATCGAGCCGAGCGCCCACGAAATCCGAATTCGACATCGATTTCAATTCACAAACTAAAACGAACCCGTAAAAAGGAGCGAACACACTCAACTAATAACACTGCAAATCTATCCACACCACTCGCGGTCGAGCTAAACAGCTACAACAACTAGACATGAATCTGTATCGCCCGAGGTCGATGGACAACAACACAAAAAATCTCATCTTTCCCAAATTAAAACCAGACCCAGTAATCCCGTTCCATCAAGCTACCTCAAGCAGCACAAAAAACTGCATCAAGTGGTAAGTCTACAACAACTAGACATTAATCTGTATCGCCCGAGGTCGATCGACAACAGAAAAAAAGAATCTCATTTTTCCCAAATTAAAGCCAGACCCAGCAATCCTATTCCATCAAGCTACCTCAAGCAGCTCAAAAAATCGCATCATAGGGTAGAGCCTAGAGGATGCAAAAAAATAACAGCGGTTGGGCCACGAATCGAAGCGCGAGACGACTCGGATCGAAGAGGAAGCGCGGAGAAAAGTACTGCGGGGCGGAGCACTCACCCGAGAGCGGAAGGTCAAAGGAAGGGCGATGCGGCCTCGGGAGAGATCCGGAGCAGGGATGAGGACCGAAGAGGAACCAGCCGAGCGGAAGAAAGAACAGCGTAATCAGGAGTTAATACGAGATAGAGAGAGAGAGAGAGAGAGAGAGAGAAAATGGGGAACGAAACGAACCCAACCCTTCCGCCCGATTGGATTGGGTCGTGGCTGTTTCTCTGGGCCGCCTTTCCTCTCTATGGTCTGGGCTTTTTTTATGGCCCGTGGGCTTCACATTTTGTGGGCCTGCAGCAGCTCGTCAGTAAAGCCTGTCCGGGCTCCATGGGAAATTCCTCTTTGCAAAAAATCCAAAAACTCAAGAATTTCTCTTTCGGTTTTACGGATTTTTTTAAAGTAAAAAAGAAAAACGCCGCCCTACCATTTCCACCGCCACCCACGTGCCCATGATGTCCCACCCCCACAACGTAAAAAGAAAAAATGAAAAAAAAAAAAGCAAAGAAAACTCAGCAGCACGGCAAGTTTTCAACTCCGGCTTTTTCCTTCATTAATTTGAAAATCCTTCGAAAACGGTGAAGATGTTATTCAAATACACACACAAGCTGTGTTTGGGAAAATTCCATATCAAAAAATTGGCAAGGTGTAAAACGATTGATCCATAATTCACGGGACTTAAACTTTGAATATGCTGGGTGCGGACTCAAATTTTTTGCCGCGCGCACTTTCTAACTAGTAGTAATGTCATTTGTCTATAATATCACTCATGGAATTTCTATTCCGCGCATAATCCACGAAAAGAAAAGAAAGAAAAAAAACGAAAATAGGAGACGCAAACCAGTGGCGCCCAACTCTTTCCTGCCTCAAGAGAAAAGGCGACTCTCGAACCTATGTTCTCACCTCCTTCAAACGCGTCCCTCTCTCTCGCACTCTCTTTCTAAATTTCTCCTGATTCGCTATAAAGATGGGGTTGCTTCCGTTGATCGTGATTCACCGGCTCAGGTTCAACAATGGCGAGGATCACCCACAAGCACGCCGCCTCGCCGGCGCGCTGGACCGTGCTGTCGATATGCATGGGCCTCCTCGGAGCCGCCCTGTTCGTGGATTTCATGTGGGCGTCCTCCTCCTCCTCTTCTTCTCCTCCTTCTTCCTCCGCCTCCTCCCTGTCGCTCGCTTCCAACTGGGCTCTCGAGAAATCCGGAATCGTCGTCTTCCCCGACCTCGCATCTCGCAAGGAACCCGGTGATCAGGTACCCTCTGCGCTTCCGTGCCCCGGGCGCACGTTGCTGGTGGGTTCGTGCGAAACGCGTGTTCGGTGCCTCGGCTTTCGGGTTATCTGTAGGATAACCATCGACCAGTTTGATAGCACTCCCGCTCTGATGCAGCGTTTTGCGTTAATCTTTTGAAATACATGAGCTGAGATATGAGATAATTAGTTCGAGTGGAATGGGGCATTCGCATGTTACTTAGAGAACCGAGTATAGGGAGATCAGAATGCCAAACAATGTTAGCTTCATTGCCATGAACTTTGATGGTTTGAACTTTCTTGGTTTGCATAATCAAGAACGAACATTTACGCGCCCCGCATTCCGAATTGAACAGAAAAATCAGAATCTTGATCGGACCCGGCTATGTTATTTCACCTTTCCTGGTCATTCGTTGCCTTAGTCGAATAGTCGTGACGTGTTGTGGAGCGAAGTTTGTGAATTGTGATTGTCTGGGCAACCTTCCAGTCGCAGGAGGTACGTGGTAAAGAAGATCGTGGTCTGGGATCAGATGCTAAAGAGAAGCGCGATCAGGGACCGGATGCTAAAGAGAAGCGTGATCGGGGACCGGATAGATTTTTATCGGCTACTTTTGCCGATTTACCCGCTCCAGACATGAAATGGGAAGAGATGCCACCGGCACCGGTGCCTCGTCTGGACGGCGCTGCGATCCAGATCAATAATCTGTTGTACGTTTTCTCAGGATACCGCACTCTTGACTATGTAATAACCTATTTCCTTGACTTTTTCTCCGCAAAGTATTTCATTCTCTGAGTTTTGATACAAGTTCAGTGATTCTTGAGACCTATGTCTTTTTTTATCTTTTGGCCACAGACATATGCTGCTATTAGATCTCTAGCTCCTAAATGCAGCTACCGTTTTAGAGTTTTTAATATCTGTGCAGCTGGCTGACTGGATACCCCTACTTTCGCGTTTGCATTTTCCAGGTGCATTCTCATGTGGATGTGTTCAACTTTACTAGCAATACATGGGGAGGGAGGTTCGACACGCCGAAAGATATGGCGAATTCACATTTAGGAATGGTAACTGATGGAAGATACGTCTATATTGTCACAGGCCAATACGGTCCACAATGCAGAGGGCCGGTGGCTCATACTTTTATCCTGGACACAAAGACGAAGAAATGGGATAGAATGCCCCCATTGCCGGCCCCAAGGTATATAAGTTCACTGATTAGGCATGAAACATGACTGCCAATCTGTTTAGCCACCATATCTTGACTCGATCTTTAGTGATAGTAGATAATTTTTCACGTCCTTCAGGTATGCTCCCGCTACGCAATTATGGAGAGGTAGACTTCACGTGATGGGTGGAGGCAAAGAGAATCGCCATACGCCTGCGTTGGAGCACTGGAGTATAGCAGTAAAGGATGGCAAAGTCTTGGAGAAGGAGTGGCGAACTGAAGTGCCCATTCCTCGCGGAGGACCACACAGGTTTGGGAGCAGTCTGTCTTGTTATTGCTGTTTACGTCCCGAGATTACTCATTTTGGTCTAATAATGTGAGCTATACTTAACAACAGGGGCTTTATCTTCTCTATTTTGCGGTGATTAATCGATCAGTTATTTGGTTTTTGCAGGGCTTGTGTCGTGGTGGATGATAAACTATATGTTATTGGTGGTCAAGAGGGTGATTTTATGGCCAAGCCTGGGTCACCCATTTTCAAATGCTCACGCAGGCATGAGGTATGTAGACTTGCTACCATAATTAAATAGAAACATGTTTAGATTCAATCTTTGCAGGTCGTGCTAATCATCATCTGGTCATTGCTTCTATTAGCTTATCAAAAATTGCTAGCTTGTGTCATATGATGTTCCATTCGAGTCGATTCTTCAAACTGGGATCTTTTTTATTTCAGGTAGTCTACGGCGATGTCTATATGCTCGATGCTGGAATGAAGTGGAAAGTACTGCCTCCTATGCCAAAACCCAACTCCCACATAGAATTTTCTTGGGTGGTTGTGAACAATTCCATTATCATCACGGGAGGTACCACTGAGAAGCATCCAATAAACAAGAGGATGATACTAGTAGGGGAGGTGTTCCGGTTTGATTTGGACACATTGGTACGATTTCTTCTCTCTCATTGAATATGAAAGATTGATGATGCAGGCAGGTGGAAAACCTTTTCCTATCCAAAGTTCGACGAAAAGCAGAAAAACATTCGCCATTTGATGTCTATTCTAATGGAGTACTTAATGTTCTATTACTTTTGCACTTGTGTGGTGATACATTTGTGGGCCGTGATGTTTTGTGGCAGAAATGGACAGTGATCGGGAAGCTTCCTTACCGCGTCAAAACCACAATCGCAGGCTTTTGGGACGGCTGGTTGTACTTTACATCAGGGCAGCGGGATCGAGGGCCAGATAATCCGCAACCTAAGATGGTCATTGGAGACATGTGGAGGACCAAATTGCGACTCTGATGCGAGTTGCAGGAAGTCGACCCTTTGAAGCATTGTCTTAGCTTAGATTTTTTTTCTTCTTTTTCACACACATTTTCTCTGGGCCAGGTAAATAGTCCGAGTATTCTTCCCTCGATCTTTCTGCTTGAGCGAGGTATATAATTATTTAACTGCAGTTTTTACATCTTTGTGCAAAAGTGGCAGATCGACTTGAATTGAATAGAGGAGAGCATTTACAAAGCGAACGTAACTAGTTGCTAGATTGAGGTTCTTCCATTGTGCTTTATTTTAAGTTCCCTTATCTCTCGACCCTTTGAAGTGTTAAAGGAGAATGAATGACTCGGATGCCCAAGGCTATACTATACGAGAGTCGGAGAGGACTAAATTATCCTATCCCAATGTTCGGTGTCCTGTCATGGATCTGATCAATCAGGACTAGTCCATGAGAAGTGGAATAATTTAATCCTCCCTGGAAAGGATATGGAAAATGAAAAAGAAAAGGAGAAAGTTGAAGCTCGAGGCCGCAGGAGACAGCCCCATGATGGCGGCGCCAGCGACGATGATCTCTCTCTCTGTCTCAATCATCTCGTGGGGGTGGCCTGAGTGCTACGGGCTCGCAATGGTGACCATCCTGAGCCGAAAGCGAGTGGCTATGGGAGTTTACTGGTTGATTCAACCGGTCACGTTTGGGACAGTTTATATTTTAACTTTCAGTACCTTTTAAATTCAAGTCATCTGTGGGTATGTTGATATCCAGTGCAACATTTGATCGATTATAGATTACTGGATAAAAGAAATCCCATCATCGTCATCATGCAGGCGATTAAAAATAGCCTGAGTGTATGAGTTACTGATGTGATTTTATTCATCTTGCTCTTGTATAATTAATAGGCTCGGGGGTGTCAAGCTCCTGGGGCGATTTGCTTACAATTGCCATATGCATATCCTTCAACATATTTCATGCTGGATCTTCCAAAGGCGGTCACCCGAAAGACTCGGACCACACTCCAAAATAAACTCTTAATTCTCAAAAGAATCAGGTGATCTTCTATCGTATCCCAATTAATATTTCCTTTTAGCCCTCCCTATGGAACACTTCCGTGGGTAGAAATGATGTAAGCCCTTTTTCTCATAACTCCCCGAGTTGAAAATAGCAAATGAGGTACTTGAAAATTGTGGAATCTAAAGCAAGTTTAAATTTGCCATCAGTCGTCTATGTTTACATTTACATTTACAAAAGGCAGGAAGGAAATATCCAGCAGTAGTACTTACAAAGCAATTGGTGCCTGCAAAATAACATCTTATTGCCTCATAAAAAAATGAACACTTCACATGAAAGTCACACAAAAGACCTACTATGAGGAAAGGGGCGGGGACAGGGGCCTAGTTAGCATCTTAGCAATAGTAAGGACTAAGGGAGGCCTACCGAGAGTATCTTCATCGTGGAACCAGTTCATGTCTTCCTTGAACCTAAAACACAGTGTACACTCTTAAGGCCTGGATCAACCCCGTTGACGTGGGGTTCCACATCAACTCATTTTTTATAAGGCCATGCCCATCTTTCCCACTGTACCTGCACAAAATGTGAAGAGCAGTTGAAGAAGTATAGTTGGGATCATTGGATGAAAGCGAGTAATCCGGCATCAGCATCTCAATTTCAAATTCAGAATGATGACTCGAATTGGTTCCCAACTCCAACTAAAAACGGATCATCTTTTTGTCATTTAAAGTTGAGCACATTGAGGAAAACAGTGTTAACCTTGTCCAGGCATGGGATACCGAACACCACACAGACGTATAATACAATGACTACATCGCAATCATGTATGCTCACTACCAAGCAAAGAGCATACTCAAGAGAGAGAGAGAGAGAGAGAGAGAGAGAGAGAGAGAGAGAGAGAGAGAGAGAGAGAGAGACTCCACTGCAAATTAACTTGTTTCTCTGCAGCCAACGCTTTAAGCAATTTTCAGTTTTCCAGTTGCGGATGCAATCAAATTCGAAAGATGAGAGTTGAATGAAACAACTGTAGATTGTGACTGACCTGACTGTAATCTCCCACTTGAACTCCCCAAGCATCTGATGCAAAACTGTCACAAATTTCTAAATCATACACACAATTCTGATTTCTGCAGAAAAATGAACCAAAATAAATGAGCAGAATAATTGGAGAAGCCGGTTAAATCACAAGAACAAAGAGCAAGGGCAGAGAGAGTTGCCTTTCACTTCAAGTGAGGAGCATAAGGAGCAGGACAGGGAGATACAGTGTCATCAGGTAACTGATTTATCAGATCAACTGCCGCCTGCAAGCAGGAATGTAGAATTTTCTTTTCCAACCGCACAAGTTGTGCGGCAACTCGCTTCTTTGGGTTTAAAGTGGGATCTGCCAACTAATGATGAAAGAGGAAAAGAAAAGAAACCTGAGCGAACAGCTTACAATTGGCATCTTAGAATGGAGTACAGCGGAGTCAAATTACCAAAGACTCGTCTTCGCTCAAGGTTGTAGGATAGCCAGCAATCCGTGACTCAAAATATTCAACTAGTTGATCCAAGACAGCCCTCTCTGTGCAAGGACTCACCTGAAGAAAACATTTGACATTTCACAAATTACTTCTTACCAAAATGACATGAGAAGACTGATGAAGCCTCTAAAGCAAAACACTATCAGTGAACCCTCTTCTCTCTGGATGTACAAACAGTATTACATGGAGTAGTATCAGTGAACTGCACATCAGGTCACTCTAGGAGACGCATCAAGAATCAGAAAAACCGAAAAAGTAGCCGAAAACTAACATGTAATCCACCAGAGTTTAATCTATTATTCAGACTATCTAGGCTAAATGCTAGATAAATGATATATGAATTAACCACAACATGAGCGCACTTCAAAACTAAAATTGATTTCAAAGGATGAAACTTACCGGACAGATTGGACCTTGGGATGAAATGACTGACTGCATATCCGAAGGATCTGAAACATAGCCCAATCGCAAATAAGGAAGCATATCGAACACAGCTTCCCTTTCCTTTCCGGCGTACACCTGCACAACAAAGCATTACAATACTCATGAGAGGCAAATCCAAGCTACTAATTTGCCACAAAAAGTTTCGTACATAAAAAACTTGTTTGGAAAGCTTTCCGTTCCGTTGAGCAACCATTCTTTTATCCTGATATTGAGGATCCTCAGTATTCAAAGAAGCCTAAAGAGACATGAAGGAGGAAAGCATATTAGAATGTTTGACAAGCATGTGATGAAATGGCACGGAAAAGAGCAGCCACTTTTACCTCAACCCCAAGCCGATCGTAAGAGTTATCTTCATCAACAAAACCGTAATTCAAAAGCAATCTTGAGTTAGGCTGCGGTCCACACCTAAGACCAAATATAAAAACTATTAAGATTGCATTGAAGTGCAGAACAAGGATGCCCTCAGGATCGCCAAGAAAAGAAGGAAGACCTCGATTTTAAACTGAAAAGCCAACTTCAGCAAGAGAAGAATTCATACCAAACAGCTATTGGTTCTCCAGCCTTATATGCACGATCAACCACCAGTTCAACAGCACCATCAACGGCTGTCAACATTGCCTTGCAATTGCTTCTATATGCTAGCAATGGTGGACCAAGAGGAACTAAAGCAAATCTTCGTGCAAGACTGACTTTCTGAAATCAAACACGAGTCATCTGATTAAACAAAAACAAAATGTAAATTATCTAGTGAGAGGCAACGGTGCTTAATTGCCCGTGCAAAAGGTATGGAGAGCAGCACCTGCAAATGCACCACGCAAGATTGAATTGCCACAAAGGCTTGCTTGAAAATCTCAAATGGAAAGGCCTCAGTCGGAATATCGAAAGGGTATTGCTGCAAAATCAATATAAGTAGTCTCACTGAGCTAGCATAATTACTGGCAAAAGTACAGTAAAGAAAACTATTGGTGATAGGAATTGACAGAGAAAAAGTATAAGGGAAAAAATTATTACCTGAAACAAAGAACCAGCCATAAACCAAACAGTGTCGAGCTCATGGTATTCTCTTCTGATCCCTTCAGCCCTCTCAAGAACTTCGGCCTAATGCTCCGACATAGAATGTAGAGTTTCAGACTTTTGAAACATAAAACATATAACTAAACTTTGATGTAGTTGTCGAAGCATTTATTGCGGAGCAATGACAAAAACATAGTGTTATAGTACCTTTGTTGGACTGCCTGTTAAGTAATCAAGTTCAGATTCTGCCCATAAAAGCGGAGACTCCACTGCCATCTGGCCCCTTCCTCGCTGACGATCAAGCTCCCTTATGTAAGGGTACCAGAAAGACTTCTTCCCTTGCTTCTTCTCATACATTAGATACAAGGCCAAGCATGCCAACTCTGACAATTTGTTCGTGGCTAGTAGTTCCGCTGCACAGAGGCCCACGAGATTCAAGCGAATTATGTGCAGGCTAAAACCTGTTATACTTGAGGCTCCAGAGAACACTATCGAATTTAAATCAGTTGCAGGCATCACCGCTTTATCGAGGAGAAAAGGGTGCAAGATAAATATACAAAAAAAAGGCCCAAAAAGCAAAATCTCTTTCTAATACTTGCACCTCCCTGTAGCAAAATTTCAAGGACATCCACTCGTGGTCTGGGGATCGAGCACATAAGTGGCATGTAACCACATTGTAACAAATTCGGGAAATGCAACAGCTTCAGTCAATGATTATCAAATGTATACTCTGTTGTAATTTTAAAATCACCCCTCGTGCAGTCATTCCTTGTATAATCACGATGGGTTTGCCAAAGAAAGTATGCACCTTCTTGACAATTACGGGTCATAGAAACAAGTCCTAAGACCAAAAGTAAAATTCTACGCTATGCCACACAAACTACCCCGCAGGAAAACCAGTAAAGAAGGTTACGAAGAAAAATGCACCTTACCAATAGTCTCGTTACCCAGCACTCTCTCCAGCGTCACAACCAGCGAATTCGGAACAGAGAATGCGACGTCACCCGCCTGGTCAACGGAAACCATTTCAGCTCAAAAAGCTTCACCAATTTCAGCAACCGGAAATCAAACATCAAAGATTCAAGACAATCATCGACCCCCGAAAATCGCACCTGCAGATCTTCGCTGGCGGCGACGTAGTGTATGGGCTGATGCCTCTCATTGTGCGACGCCCTCTCCTTGAGCACGACCTTGCACGGGGGGAGCCCGTTCCGGTGCATCCAAGTCTTCAGGTCGCCGCCGAGCTCCCCCTCCTTCTTGCTAACCACGACGGCGGCCGCCTCGCCTCCGCGCCGACGCCCATCCTCCCTGAGCGATCCCCCCACCAGGGTCTCGGAGCTGGACACCAAGCACAGGCTCCGGCGGCGGGACGGCCGGAGGGTCCGGTTCTTGAGGAAGGCGGCGGGGAGGGGCCGGGAGAGGGAGCGGAGCGGGAGCGAGACGGGACTGTTGTTCAGGTGGGTGGCGTCCATTGTTAGGGTTTTGGTGGGTGGGGGTGGAGTGGAGAAGGCGCGGGAGATGGAGAGGAGAACTGGGTTCTTGGTCGTCGTTGCTCGGGGTCAAGAAAGATCTTTTCTTGTTGCTGGGTTCTTTTGCTGCTGGGAAAATTCAGAGACGAGGGTTGCCGGGGGAGATGAGAGAGAGAGAGAGAGAGAGAGATGCAGATCAGATTGGAAGGATTGAAAGGGAAATTGGCGTTCGAAGGACAGCAGCAGATTGTTTTTGATTGGAGGGAAGAAACTGAAATCTTTTTCTTGTCCCTTCTTGAAATTTAAATTATTTGAATGCCCTTTTGGGAAATAAAAGAATTGAACCGGACTTAACTAGAGGTGTCAATGAAACCCGCACCGACCCAGCCCGACCCTAAAATTTGGGATATTTTAGGGTCGGGCCTTAATCTTATTCGAATATGATCCTAAAATTTAAAATTTCATTAGGGTTGGGGTAGGGTCGGGCCGACCCATTAATACTCTAGGCCGGCCCATCTCCCTCTCTCAAACTCTCAGTCGCCAATCGCCATCGCCGTCGGACGCTCTCCGCCTCGTCTGATCTCGTCTCTACCCCCGTCGATCATCTCTCTGCATCCTTCGCCCGTCGCCGTCGCCATCGCTCGAGGTCGCTCTCTCTCTCTCTCTCTCTCTCTCTCTCTCTCTCTCTCTCTGCAACGCCCCTGTTAGGGTTCGCGTTTCGAGTCCTTGATTCCGTCGAGGCTGTTGTTGTCCTTTTCGCTCCGCTTGCCTAGCGTCCTCGATCTACTCCCTTTCGCTCCGCGATCGCTTGCGCTCACGAGCTCCCACCATTCCTGGAATATAAGGCATCGCTTTTCCTCGCCGATTTTGGTTCTATAGCGATAGAATTCATTGAGACCCGGTTGATGGATACGGCTTGCTTCGAAAAATTCGAGTGTGATTCTGAGAGTTCTGCTGGTCGCATGAGATGTCGGGATCTTTTCATTTATTCGATTCTGTGATTGTGGCTTCTTCATGGACTTTTTTCAAACAGGTCAAATGCTTTGATAGTGTCCTTGGCCCGTCTTGTGTTTGCTTTTAGCGGCGGCCATGCATGTTTTTTTGAGCTGGAGTTTGTGGAGCAGTGTTTTTGGATATGACAAAAAGGAAATCAATAGAATGGGTGTTGGAGGAATATTTCTTGGCAAATAGCTCAGGGCCTCTTTCGTTAAATTGTTATGGAGCAGGTCAGTGGGCGCTATTCCTTTTTGAATGTCCCTGAAGCCGAGGAGGCTCTGGAGCGGTCGAGCTTCAGTGGTCACGTAGCGGAATCGGACGATCAGTCCGTTGAATTAGACGTTTCCTTTTGATGTTTATGACTTTTTAGGTTAATTGGCTATACACCCTTTTGATGTTTGTTCTCTTAACCCCGTGATTCAAAATCTGAAATTGTATACATGTACGCAGCTCGATGCGATATTGATTGATTGATTGATTGGTGTTTTTGACGTTGGGGGGACCACTGATTGTGCTGTATAGGCATGTGAGTCGCAAGTTCAGCAATCAATATAAGGCGACTATCGAAGCTGATTTCTTGACGAAGGAAGTTCAGTTTGAGGACAGGTTGTTCACATTGCAGGTGAGCCCCAAAAAAATGGTGAATTTTTCGCATGGTTCCTAGTTTCTTTTCCGTGTAAATTGTATCATTTGAGCATGGATTTTGAATTGCATCTGTTGTGCTCATCAGTTTCTGCGAATTTAATGGCCCTTATTTGATTAAAACGATGTTGATTAGCTGGTGACACCCTTTGGCCCTTATTTGATCAAATTGCTTAGGTGATTTATTACAAACTATTTGGTCTAACAGATGGTCTGCTGTTTTCAACATGGAATGCTAGTATCAACCTCACTTAGATGTTAGCAACAGCATAACAACTTATCACCATTAGCATGGTGGCTGCATTCCCTTTGGGATTTTGTTACTCATAAGGCGTATTTGTAGTGAAGTTAAAATGATTTTGACTTTGCAAATCTGGCGGAGAAGCGGCGTGTATGGTTGTTAATGATGGCATTGGACTTGAACATTTGATTGCCTTGGTGTCGAGAAACGGCACCGTCACTTTGGGCATAGGATCTGTTGCTCTAATCAAATGCTAATTTATGTGGCTTCTAAGTTCTTGCTAGGAGTCGTTATATACCTATCAATATGAGGCATGCAAAATCTACTTTCATGGTTCTAGCATATCGTCCTTACTATCCATTGTATCAGTGTGCCTCTTATGTTCAGATGCATGAATTTGTCTAAAATTTTATTATGTGTTGATTATTTTGTTCTTTTTGGTTGTTTTAATGATCTTAAGCTTGCTTTAACTTGTGTAGAAAAGGGAGAAGTGATTAGTGAACATTACAAGCTCCTTCCAGTTGACTTGCGTGACATACCAAAGTTGGACGACATTATATCATTGGCTAATATTGATCCAAGGTATGCATGTGAGGTCTTGACCACAATAGTCTGCTTCTTTCTAGTTGATGACACTGGTCATTTGCATTCCCTTTGTGCTTCACTAAAATTGATTTATGTGATATTACTATCAGAGGCTCTTTTTCATTTTTTCACATGTGCACTGTCTGATGATTGTGTTTCTCAGATGTATATGATGTTCTGCTATTCTCTGCAGACCCCTACTTCTTGCCTATGGCTTATGTTAAGTTGCATGCTTATTCAGGGAGTTTTTGAGTATTTGAATCTGATGTTGTTGTCAGCTTGCCGACCTTTATAATTGCAGAATGTGTCTTGATATACTTGGATCTAGATTCAAGCCCGGCTATTGTTGGTTGGACTTCAAAAACATTTTCAACAGCAGTTTTCTTCTTATATGAGCAGGTTTGCTACCTTTCTTCCCTCATTTTTGCCTTTGTTAGTTTATTGTTGTTTTTAGTGTCTAAGTTTCATCAATTTATTGATTTGGGAAACTTTTTTTTGTCTTATTAACAGTAAGAATTTTTCACTGTACCATTTTACCGGTGATTTGACAGATCCATCCAGATGATGATTTTGGGCTGCAAATGATCAGAAATTTAGGCTCCGTTCGTTTGGCGGAAAATGTTTTCCAGGAAAATATTTTCTGGATTTTCCGGAAATAACTTTCACGGAAATCATTTCGTGAAGCAAATTGCGGAAGAAAATGTTTTCCGTGGGAGAGGAAGTTGATCGCCGGTCGCCGCCGTCGGCCGCCGGTCGCCGGTCGCTGCCGCCGATTGACGACCGCCGGTCGCCGTCGCCGATCGCCACCACCGGTCGTCGGTCGCCGGTCACCGTCGATCGTCGGCCGCCGCCGGTCTGCCGATCGCCGCCGCCGGTCGTTGAGTCGCGCTGGTCCACCGTCGGTCGTCGGCCGCCCGGCCGTTAATCGCCGATCCACCGCCGCCGATGCGCCGCCCACCGATCGTCGTCGATCGCCGATCCACCGTCGGTCGTCGATGGTTAAGCGGCCCGGCCGTCGATCCACCGCCGATCGCCGCCGCAGCGCCCGCCAAGCGCTGCCGGTTGTTGATCGCCGCCGTCGCCGCCACCACCGGCCAAGAACCGTCGCGATTACTGCGATCGCCGCCCAGCCGTTCGCGCGCCAACTACCGTCGCCGCCGCCGGGCCGCGCCAGGATCGGCCGTCGCCAACTACCAAAAAATATTTTCTGAAACTTTTTCAAATTTTAGTCGAACACCAGAAAATTGTGTTCCAGGAAAATATTTTTCAGGAAAATGACTTCCGGGAAAATATTTTCCAAAAGGAGAATATTTTCCGTCAAACGAACGGAGCCTTAGAGGTTATCTCCGAGATCCTTTGCTTTTAGAGGCCAGAAATATCATCGAGTTGTATTGCAATTATATTACCGTGGCTTGGGACTGAACCATAAATAGAGACGGAAAATATCATCGAGTTGTATTCCATTTGATGTTCTTTTATAAGGAAGTGATGGCCTGAAGCACATGCTTTTAGTATGGTTCTAGAATGACATATGCTTGGTCTTTCTGAAGCTTTTTATTTAATTGATCGGAATTTCATTATCTTGAAACTCTCATAATTTGACTTTTGTTAATGCGAAACACCTCAAACCTTTCAAAATACAATGATTGACATGTGGAATTACACCTCAAACCTTTCAATCTATCTGCACAAAAAAAAAACCCCACGGCCCGACCCAGCCGGCCAGACCCGGCCCGGCCCGACCCTTGTGGTGTACGGTGAATAGGGTTTGGGGTGGGTGCGGGCAGTCAAGCATGACCTTGGTTTGATCTCGGGTCGGGTATTAAGAAAGCCCAACCCAACCCGGCCCATTGACACCCCTAGACTTAACGAGCGGAATTATTATGGTCATGAATTTGATTCACGCAAAGTTTCCTTATTTTACTTGTGGTGTACGGTGAATAGGGTTTGGGGTGGGTCTGGGCAGGTCAAGCATGACCCTGTAGGTTTCGGGTCAGGTCGGGTATTAAGAAAGCCCAACCCAACCCGACCCATTGACACCCCTAGACTTAACTGAGCGGAATTATTATGGTCATGAATTTGATTCACGCAAAGTTTCCTTATTTTATTTTTCATTCATCAGAGCAAATAATTTTTGGTGTCATACTATCATAATATTGAAATTTTGGAGTGTTTTTATAAATTAGTGGGCAAAAACTTGTTGAATTCCTGGTTTGTTCAGTCTAAAAGACATCATCAACCGCCGGATATGATATTTTGCTATACAATTCAAACTACCAAATGCAGCTTTCCAAAGCAAATTAATGGTTGGATTCGCAATGGGAATTCGCGATTTTTTTAAAATGTGACAAAGAAATTAGTTTTTTGACCGGGAAAAGAGGTTAAAAGTTGTGAGGGCGCTTTGTAAAAAGGAAATTGCGATAACATTTTGCAAGGGTAGATGGAGACCTGATCACCGGGTCGGGTTTGGTCGCCTATATATGGGCCGAAAATGGGCCTTCAACTGTACCGCCACTCCCCTCCATTGTAAAGCCCAGGCCCAACACCAGAAATGTCAATTAAAAAACAAAAAGCCCACGAAAGAAAAGTCCGACGACTCTCTCTGCTCGCTGCTGACGATCCGAAGTGGAAAAAACTCCCTTCCCATTTTCACCGGCTCCGATCGCCATCAACCTCCCCTCATGTTCGCAGTCCTCGATCTCGCGGCGTAGCTACGATCTCTGCGCCCGCTCGTTCGCAGTGGATGCGGTGCTGAATCGAACGCCAATCAGCCTCCTCCGCGGCGACGATGGACATCCTCTTCGCCCAGATCCAGGCCGACCTCCGCTCCAACGACGCCCTCCGCCAGTCCGGCGCCCTCCTCCAGGCGCTCCAGCAGTCCGCCGCCGGCCGCGACATCTCCGTCATCGCCAAGTCCGCCGTCGAGGAGATCGTCGCCTCCCCCGCCTCCGCCGTGTGCAAGAAGCTCGCCTTCGACCTCATCCGCTCCACCCGCCTCACCGCCGACCTCTGGGAGACCGTCTGCACCGGCATCCGCACCGACCTTGACTTCCCCGACCCGGACGTCACCGCCGCCGCTCTCTCCATACTCGCCGCCATCCCCTCCCACCACCTCTCCAGGCTCATCACCAACTCCCACAAGGAGATCAACAGCTGCTTCGACTCTCTCAGCGACAATCTTCGCTTCTCCATCACCGAGACGCTGGGTTGTATCTTGGCGCGCGATGATTTGGTTACTCTGTGCGAGAATAACGTGAGTTTGCTCGACAGGGTTTCCAATTGGTGGGCGCGGATCGGGCAGAACATGCTCGACCGGGCCGATACCGTTTCTAAAGTAGCGTTTGAATCCGTCGGGAGGCTTTTTCACGAGTTTGATAATAAGAGGATGAGTCGATTGGCGGGTGATAAGTTAGTTGATAGTGAGAACTCGCTGGCAATTCGGTCGAATTGGGTGTCTTCCATGGTGGATTTTGTGTGGAAGAAGCGCAATGCTTTGATGGCGAGATCGCTAGTTTTGCCCGTCGAGAGCTTCAGGGCTACAGTCTTCCCCATAGTGTATGCTGTCAAGGCGGTGGCGTCCGGTTCAATTGAGATTGTGAGGAAGCTTTCGAAGAGTAATGCAAATGCAAGTGTGATTGACTTGAATAATGCGGAGATATTGGTGGGTGTTTCGGATGTTGTTTCGCACCTGGCGCCCTTTCTGGCTTCTTCCTTGGATCCGGCATTGATTTTCGAGGTGGGTATTAACATGTTGTATCTGGCTGATGTACCTGGTGGGAAGCCAGAATGGGCTTCACAATCAATTATTGCGATCTTGACTCTCTGGGATAGACAAGAGTTTTCTTCTGCCAGAGAAAGTATTGTTAGGGCGGTCGTTACGAATCTGCACCTTCTTGACCTTCATATGCAGGTATGTGTCTGATTTGCTTCATTTACTCTAAAGTACATTCATCTTTCTGTAGAAAATTTGTGCCTGAACCGATCTGCCTTTTGTTTATCATACTGTTTGATTTCACTGATGATCATTTGCGATGCAATAAAGACTATTAAGTTATGCAGTTTCTTTTCATTCTGCTGTACTTAGCATAAAATACTGTCAAGCATACTTCTAGGCGTTGTGAGAGCTGGCTATTGGTATTGTTTTTTTTCTGTTTCTAAATCAAGACGAGTATGAAACTAGGATAATGCTGGGTTTACTGTGGTAAATATACGGAACTAATTTGCAAAATAATTTGAAAAACTGTTAATTGGCATTTAACTAGTGTGTCGTTAGCTACACCAAATAAGAATTTACCAACCAATTCTGTCAAACGGTCTTAATGTATTTATGATTATTTGTGGAAATATTATCTCTTGTTAATCTACCATCGCCTGCATTGGTCAATTGGAGTCTACTTTATTGCCTTTCTAGGATCTCTATAGGATCTTCCATGTCATTGAATTTACATGTAGTCTAACAATGAATATCTGGAATTTGTGCATTAGGACGTGCGAGATAGAATTCCTCAAATGGAAAAAAAACTAATATTTGTGTATTCAATGATTGAAGGTTTCTCTTTTCAAGAGGCTGCTTCTTATGGTAAGAAACTTGAGGGCAGAATCAGACCGCATGCATGCCATGGCGTGCATCTGTCGAACTTCTCTTTGTGTCGACCTTTTTGCCAAGGAAAGTGTTCGAAGGGGCCAAAAACCTCTACCTGGAACTGATATCGCTTCCCTTTTTGAAGATGCAAGAATAAAAGATGATCTCAATAGTGTTACTAGTAAAAGCTTATTTAGGGAGGAACTAGTAGCATCACTGGTTGAAAGTTGCTTTCAGTTGTCATTACCTTTGCCTGAACAAAAGAACTCCGGCATGGAGAGCAGGGTCATTGGAGCGTTGGCATATGGTACTGGTTATGGTGCACTCAATTGGACGGAGCCTGCTTTGGAGGTGGTGGAAGTCTGTAGGCCTTGCGTCAAGTGGGACTGTGATGGTCGGACCTATGCAATCGACTGCTATTTGAAGTTGCTTGTTAGACTTTGTTATATATATGATACGAGGGGTGGTGTTAAAAGAGTCAAAGACGGGGCTTCTCAAGACCAAATTCTAAATGAGACCAGACTGCAGAAATTGCAGCGTGGGCTAGTGAAGGACTTGCATGAGGTATGTATGAAACTCTAACGAGACCAAAGGCGTGCTAAAGATCGTGCAATAGATAGTTTAAACATGAATTGTAATGTTCCCTGTTTTGGAAATGTATTTCTTTGACTTTGAAATTAAACATGGTTATTGGATTGTAATTTCTTGTCAGGATGTTTTTCAGGCTGAAGATCATGACTTATTTCTTAAAATAGCTTGCCCGCTGATGATTTAGTTTTCACTTCGTAGGGGGGTTTTTAACTTTGAAATTTCGATATGGCTTCTACTTTATTTTTTGCCACTGACTAAGTGCATAAAAAAACTAGGTTGCCAAATGCTAGGCTATGGGTGCTTGTGTTTTGTGCATATGCCTGGTGTGGAACTTGATGCTCAGAAGTCAAAATTATTCATGAGGCATAAATAGATATTGGAGGTATACATGGCCTCCTGGCTTTTACCTTTCCTAGGACAAGTC